CTCGGGATACACCCAGAGTCACGGAACGCATTAAGTTCGTATCCCGAGGTACCACTGTACATAGATATTTCATAGATATTTTCATATTCATAGATATTTCCACAAAAATTCATCACAAAATTCATTTGCAAATAGTCTCCTGTGCATCAAAACCTCACCATATACCTTTAAATCTGCATACCTTACATATGAGAGGTATCTACACTGAACCCTAAGTATACAAAATTACTCCTGAGATGTAATTTTGGGGGTCAGCGGCCTTCTCTTAGCCTGATGGAAATTCCTTCATTACTGTTCTAAACTTCTTGCAGAAGCTTTAAAGTTCTGTTTCATGAAGAATTGGTTTTCCAGAGCCAATTCTGCCTGTTGCATTTTTCTTTCTTCTCTTCATGCTCCAATCAAAAACACCAAGTATGCATAGAGAGGTATCAAAGTAACTGGTGAGCAATGGAAGCTGTTGCCAGCAGCTTCACAGATTACAGTGTAAATATGCAGGAATCCTAATTTTAGATGAGAATCGGATAATAAGTTTGATTCACTGGGAAAACTGGAATTACTACAGAAGGTATAGCTAGGCAAATGGAACATGGATACAGGAAGATGTAGGTTCTGCAAGATGCTATGTCTAGATAAAATGGAATCATAATCCACATTTTGAAACATAGTCCAGATATTCTTCTCTCTTGATCTAAGTACTTGATTCTCAGCAAAGAACACACAGACAACAGTATGACACTTCTATGAGAATATGAATTTTATCTCTGGCTTTCCTTTCAGAAACTTAAGGAATGGGTGGCTGTGGAGAGTGATTCTCAACAGCCACACCTAAGAGCAAAAGTCATACAAATGGTCAAAATAGCTGCAGCCAGTCTTGAAGACTTAGGAGCTGTTGTGACACTCAACGATACAGGCATTCAACAGGTACTGATCCTTGCTTACATCAAAAGCCTCCTGTGCACAGATAGAAGGAATGTCTGCTCACATAATGGGGTCAATGTAGAGTTATCAGATTTGGATTACAAAAAATCTGGACAAACCACAAGATAGCAGCAAAAAGATCTGGTAGGAGAAAGGTGGCACCCCAGATCTGGGAACCCTAAGTAATAGACAGGGATAGAAAGTTATGTAGTGATGAGTAAGGCAGAGTCCTCTGAGTCCAGGTCTGTGTTTTAGTCTTACAATTTTGGGTGGTATAATTGTTATGCCAATAGGCTAGGCCTCCAATTAATTAAATGGCACCAAAAAAGATAATAGTTTCTTGGAAGGTACTTGCTGCTTTCCTTCCAAAAGCTCTCTAATAAAAGAGTAAATATAACTTTAAATATTTCACCCTCTTCCTCCACTCCAACTACAGGCCATGTTAGTGGTTTAGATTTAGTGTTCTACTAAAATATTTCTTCATGCAGGATGGATTCATGTGTTTGGATTCATGTATCACATAATTGATGAAAATAATGTTATTTTCTCTGTTGTTGGTTTAATTAAATACTCTGTGATTTTGATATGGGAAAGCTATTTGGTGGATTGAACTAGGTGGTTTTTTCTAGAGTTGTGATTTTAATCGTCTAGCCTTTAATATCTTAATGATAGAATCTATATTCTCTATCTCTTCAGGAAAAAAGCAGGCCTTTTTTTTAGGAAAAAATGTTTGGTCTCTGCTGGCTTGTATTATTGTCTATCTCAAAGATAAGATAGGATCTGATTAGAATCCAGTGTAAGGTATATCTGTAGACTGCTCCATAAAGAAAAGACAGAAAACATAAAAAGGTTCCAGGTTCAGTTTCCAGATAATGTGGGAAAAGATGCTTTGAAACTCAGCAGAATTATTACCAAACCGTATTGACAGTACAGTACAGTAATTTACCTCAATATAATGCCACCAAGTTTAAATCAGTAGCAGGCGATAGTCATATGGAGGTGGCAGTTGTGATAACAGGAGCTTTTGCATAGCTACTGCACATAGTGATGCTCTCAAGACAAGGACTTTGGACATGTCCAGGCCCCATTCATCAAGAGTTAGGGGACTCTCAAACAGAGCTGTGCTGTCTTACCACATCATAAAGTAAGTGAAGCAATACACATTGCTTCATAAGAACACTGTCTAAAATTGACATTATGGTGAACTAAGATCCATCCTGTAGACGTTTGGTGAACTTTCTTTCACAAAAACTGGATTTATGGAAAATATGTATATATTTCTGTATAGATCCTTGGTGAATAAAAAACCTGAGCTGGAACTAAGCCAACATCGAACAAAAATGACATTCCTTCAAGTATATATCACAAGGAAGGAAATTGTTGCTTATTATTTCATTAAGAAACTCACTGAATATCATTAACTGTGTTTCAATATCTTTCTGCAGCTGTCTAATGGTCAGAATATTCCATTACCTCCTGTCATTCTGGCAAAGTTAGGGGATGATCCACAGAAGCCAACTGTATGTTTTTATGGACACGTGGATGTGATGCCAGCTAAAAGTCAAGATGGGTGGAAAACCCATCCTTTCAATTTAACAGAAATCGATGGTATGTGTATTATCTAGTTGGTACAGTCAAAAGTAAAGGGCCTATAAAAAAAGTTGACAATTCTTAAAGTTTCTATGATAAAAACATCAAGGATAGGCACCATGTATATAAAAAGATATGGTCATATCAATGTCAATCATTTAAATTAACAGCAAAGATTATTTTTTGAGACCTTTTCATTGCAAAATCAGCACTGCCATCTTCAAATGATGTTTTCCACACAATCTCATTCTCAACAGAGAATGGAGCAAGAGAAATGTTGTTGTCCCATAGTTAATTGGAAACTGTTTTTTTTAATCAGCTTTAATTTTACAAAATAATAGTCCCTTTCACAACTCACTCCTCAAATGTCAAGATACATGCTTTGAATATTGTAAACATTTGGAAAGCTTGTTGACCAGGGGAGCAGGACATACTAGCAACGAACATATCATCACATTATTTGAAATATATATAATGTCACACATAATGTTTTGCTGTCTGAAAATAATTACCCGCAATAATGTTGATCACCTATCAACATATAGAAAGTATCTAATAAAGAACCAAGAAACTGAAGTGTCTATAGCTAACAAGTCCTACTGCAGCCACTCTTAACCATTCTTTTTGGGGAAATCCATTTAAGTTTGTTAAGTGGAGAAAAAAGAATATGCTGTTTAAAAGATGACTCTGATGACTTCTTATAAGAGGGCCTAACCTACAATTCCCCAATATATTAGGACTGTTGGAGGCTGTAGCATTCTCTGGGCACACGTGAGCCTTCCTTAGAGTGGAATCTGACCTGAGCAATGATTAGTGAACAGGTGTTATAACAGAAATGAGATTTATTTACAGGAAATACTTAATAGGAATAGACAAGACTTAGCATCTAGTTAATACATCCAACCAGGAGGAGAGTCCAGGAGCATGTGTTTTATGGCTACATGCCTGGGAAGAAAGGCAGAAAGAGGTGACTTCAGATTAGCAATCTTTTAGACCAGTGGTGTTGCGAAACTTGGCTGGTTTTTATGAGGGATGTAGTGTGACCTCACA